TAATTTGAGAGTAATTAAATAAAAAAGTCAACACTTTCTTAAGTATCTTAGCTTGACCTAGTTTTTGGTTTGCCTTTGTGTGAAAATTTTTATATAATTTTACGTAGCCTAAAACTTGGTTAATTTAATAAATTCTCCCTTCTAATTATGAATTTAATTCTGGATATTAATTATATTTTATTATATCACATGCCATTTAATTGAATTATGTGATTTATGTGACATAGGTGGCATGTGACTTGTGCATCAATTGAGCAATTGAAGTCAACACTCCTTGAGGTCAATGGCTGAGCATTTGCACGTGATTTATACTATTCTTGGGATATTAAATCAGCTTAAATGATGTGGATGACACATGAGAAATTGCACACACATTGAAATCATCTATAAACTAATAGGAAGTTGCCACCTTGCAAGTGTGACAAGGATCCCATTTTCATTTTAATTTCTTTTTTTATTTTTTAATTAAGCCTTTAGCATGAAAAGGCCACATCTTTACCCTATTATTGATTTAGTATTTTGTTTATCATGTCAAATAATTATTTTATTATAATTTACATAATTAGTAATTTTAATTAGTACATCATATTATTTAATAAATAAAAGTAAAGAGGCTGTATTTACTGAATTTGAAAATGCCACTCTATACTCTATTATTAATTTAGTATTTTTTATTAAATTAAATAATTATTAAATTATAATTTATTTAACTAGCATCTATAATTAATACATAATTACATTTAATAAATGCATGAAGAGAGGTGTCATTTCCAAAGCTTGGAAATGCTACCTCTCTTCTTGTTTTATTATTCAAGTATTTTTTTTATAAGATAAAATATTATTTTTATTATAATTTATTTATTAATATTAATTATTAATATATAATTATTATTTAATAATTCAAAAGTATAGAGATGGCGTTTCTTGAGGTTGGAAACACTACCTCTCTACCTTGTTATTGATTTATTATTTTATTTTATCAAATTGAATTATTATTTTATTATAATTTATCTAATTAATAATTTTAATTAATATATTATATTATTAAATAAATAAAATCATAGAGGTGACATTTTTGAGCTTGAAAATATCACCTCTATGCTCTCTTATTAATTTAAAATTTTATTTTTTCATATTAAATAATTACTTTATTATAATTTATTTAATGAGTATTTATAATTAATATATAATAATATTTAATAAACAAATGAAGAGATGGAATTTCCAAACTTTAAAATGCCACCTCTCTTTTTTTATTATTCAAGTATTTTATAAGATAAAATATTATTTTATTATAATTTATTTAATTAATATTAATGATTAATATATATTATTATTTAATAATTAAAAAGAAGAGAGGTGGAATTTCTTGAGCTTGGAAATGCCACCCCTCTCTTACAAATTAAATTCTTTTTCAATTAATATTATTTTCAATATAGGGAAAAATAGGGAGTTTTTCATCCCCTCTACGGAAAAATAGGGAGTTTTTCATCAACTTTTCTTTCAAGAAGAATGAGGACATCAACCTAACAAAAGCATCCCATCTTAAAATGAATCTTGAAGACCTTATACTAGCTAGAGAAAAATGTGCAGATTTACTTAAACAAAGGCTCATTAAGCCAACCAAGTTAAATTGGACGTGTTAAGCTTTTAGTGCTGAAAATAGGTCAAAAAAACAAAGAGAAAAAAAGATATTAGTGATTGATTATAAGCCTCTTAATGCCTTTTTATAAGATGATAAATATCCTCATCTTAAGATTCATACTCTACTAGTAAATTTAAAGCGGGCCAAGATATTCTCAAAGTTTGACCTTAAAGTAGGATTATGCAATTAGGGATAGATCTTATAGATTGATACAAAATAGCCTTTTGTATTCCTAATGCTAATACCAATGGATAATTATGTCCTTTGAGCTTAAAATTGCTCCATCACTATTCCAAAAGGCTATGATTCATATCTTCAAGCTCATTATCAACAATGTTCTGGTGTATGTTGATGAAATATTATTGTTTTTAGGATCTAAGGAAGAACATAAAGACCTATTGGCTAAATTTTACAAAATAATTCAGTAGTATAGGATCATACTCTCAGCCTGTAAAGGCCTTATTGGTGTAGCTTAGATGGAATTTCTAGGAATGATTGTTTAGGATAGACAGTATCAGCCTAACTCATATATTGCTTAGGAATTATTAAATTTTCTTGATGAAAACTTATCTAGAAACCAGATCCAATAGTTCTTAGGTATAGTAAATTACATTAAGGATTTTATGCCTAAAGTGTCTCATCATACTAGCTAGCTATCAAGACTATTGCAAAAAAATCCATTACCTCAAGAATCTAGCCAAACAAAAGATGTTTAGCATTTAAAGCAAGTTTGTTAGCATCCTCTTTCACTAAGAATTCCTGACAAAGGACAAAGAATTCTGTAAACTGACGTAAGTGATGACTATTGGGGAGCAATACTCATTGAGGAAGAAAATGGGAAGAGGCATTATTATACTTATGCCAATGGTGAATTTAAACCCTTTGAAAAGCATTACCACATAAAGAAGTTCTAATTGTGAAATGGGGCATAAAAAATTCAGCTTTCATCTCAGTCCTTACCACTTTGTGGTAGAAATGGACAATAAATCATTTCCAAAGATCTTCAATCAAAATAGAAAAATAATCCTTGAAGCTTAACTCCTTTGATAGAAGGACTAGTTCTCTTTCTATAAATTTATAGTTTAACATATCAAAGGAAACCATAATGCTATTGCAGATTACCTCACTAGATCTCAAAAAATGATTAATCTTGTAATAACCTCACAAATCTAGCCCCTCTTCATTCTAAACATCATGCCAAGCTAGTTTTCCCACCTGGATATAGTCCTAATATTGTCTATGAAGTTAACCACCTATTAGCTAGAAGAAGTTTGTTCTTTTGGCTTCAACTTCTTCAAAAAACCAAGATCTAGCCATAGCTTGAATTCTTTGATATTTAATCCCCATATCTAGCCATACCTTTCAAAGAGGCCCCATACTAGATGAAGCCATGTGGTATCTTTGGTCCCTCTCAACTCTCTATGCATATGCCCTAGCTTTTCCTCTATTGATCATTTATCATTATCTTCATAATTATGCCAATGAGGGATCAAATCTCTAGAAGTTTCTTGAGAATTTTCACCACTTCCCCAATGGTGTAAGGAACTCTTAAAAGTAATTGAAACCTACAATCAATGGAAGGTACCGTTGAATGAATAGAAGGCTTATTCCTTCTTTGTCATTCACCATTCCTACCATTTAGATAACCACAAGAATCTCTATATGGCTAACCAAGCATGTTTGTGGAAAACATCAATTAATTAGCCATCACATGAAAAACTAATCTCAAGTGAATTAAAATATTTTTTATATGAACTGAATAACTTTCCAAGTACAGATCCTAATATTTAGTGTTTGTTCATTCATCCTATTTCTTACCAACCTATCATCCCTAATGATTTTGTACAATATGAGTTTCCAGAATGGCTCTCTAGTATTATTGTTCAACAAGGATATACAATAAAATGGAATCTTATGATGGAGCATCCTCATCCCAAGGCACAAAATCCACTCTCTACCTTTTTCCTCTAGATAGCCAAGACCCTTACAAGATAGAGACTCAGACCTACTAGTTATTTCTATAGTTAAAAGACACACATGTCCCTAGATCCTCTCAAGATATGGATGAAGATTTTGATGAGGAATAGCTAGAGATTGATTTAGCCAAATGGCTTTAGAAAAAAGTAAAGACATGGCTCAACCTGTTGTAAGACCAAGAAAGCATCCACAAAAGTCTAAGATGATTGGAAGCTTATCGTCATGCAAAAGGAATCCATTCACTTTAATAATGTTTGTTAGTGTCAGCTTTATCCCTTAGTTAACTTTATCAAAAATTACTTTAATAATGTTTGCTTTTTTTAGTATTTTTATCTTTGGACAATTTTGTCAAAAGTAACTTTTACTTTTTGACAAAATCATATGCTTAGTCAAATCGACTGTCTTTACTTTTATCTTTAGTCATGTCTAGCTTTACTTTTGGAAAAGAGTGTGCTAATAAGTCCTCTTGTAATTATGGGTGTATTGTCTTCATCCTTCTCCCTTTATCTATAAAAGGGAGTCTCAACCATGTTGTAAGGCATAACTCATTTGGAGAAATAAAATCCATGCGTTTCTTAATTATGTCTCTCAAAACTCTCTCTCTCTCTCTCTTCTCTCTTAAAAACTTGATTCTATAATATCTTACTCCTATCATGCCAATGTTTATAGATACTCTGCACTTGCCTTTTTGAGAAACCTATGCATTAAAATGAATTCGACCATGATGCATAAGTGAGCCTATGTGACTATGCTTAGAAATTTGTGGGTTAAAATGTCAAGGAGTTGAGGATTCTAAAGCGGCCCTACTTTGCCTAGGAGAGGCATTGAGGGGCCTCACCTAGATCAACATACCTTAAGATATGGAGACACAAAGATTTCTAGGTCTAGGCACGCATGAGACCCACACTTATGGTTAATTGGTTAAATTAACTTGTTATCTTTTGACTGAACATAACCAATCATCATAAGTCATAGTTACCTAGAAATGGTCATTCAACTAAACTTAATTGGTTAATCTATATATAATAGAAATCTATTCCAAAAAGTGATCCTTATGAACAATAACAAAGGGTATTTTTGGAATTTGTTAGACATGTAAAATTTGGAACACTCCTCTTCCCTCTCAAAATATGAAGCACGTTGGGGGTATTTTTGGTTCAACACACTTTATTAGTAAAAAGTGAAAGGTATCTGATGCAAATTTTGAATAAATCTTTTATCCTCTGGTTGCTTCAATTATTTCTTGTCTAAAGCTAGCATATCCTGTACTCTAATAACAGTGGAGGAAAGTGATATTGGTCTCTTCATGAAATCTCTGTACAAGCATTAATGTACTCTCATTTACCCATTCTGAAAAAAAAAAACTCTAGCCTTTCAACCACCTCGTCACATCTATACCTTTAGAATCCAAAAACCCCAAGCCTCCACAAAACTCCATCGTCCCTTCCTTCCTCTTGATCGACAATTCCCATTTTTGTTCAATCCGACAACATTCTCGAGCTTGGCCCTTTTTCATAACCAACTTCGCGAGCTCTTCCCCCTTTCCTGCTAAGTCTACAACCATCGGCCATCAAATCTCCATCATCTCCTTCTTCAACCTTGTCTATCCTTGCTTTTTCGCTCCACAAATGGCTACCTCCAACCTTATGCCTCTAGCAAAAGATCTTCCTTTCTGGTTTTCCCAAGTGTGTTCAATCTGTTGACCTTCTGGTGTTTGACGCTCAGGTTAGTTCCTACTTTCATCATTTTCTTCTCCAAACTAGATAACCTTATAGTATTTGATGCTCAGGTCTGTTCTTATTATGCTAAAGCTCTGATTCGTGTCAAAGCTCGAGAGTTGTTTATCTTCAATTCGTCCACCTCAAGAAAATTGTCCCCTGACTTCTCATTTTTATCAGACGAGATATCACTTTTTCTATCAATCAGAGGACCTTCTTAAGCTATACCATCTCGATCATTGAACTTCAGGACCTCTGTTTTCTTTCCTGGTAAGGAGGCAAAATCTATTCTCTCTTTCGTGCTAAAGCTCAAGCTAAGAAAAAGCCCTAGCATTATAAATGAATCTTGTCTTTTGTGTTCTAATTTCCTCTATTGCAAGATATCCCATCTTCTTTTACAGGTTATCTGTCCTCATTCTTGACCCCCACCGCTTCTCCAAACGGAAATCATAACCTCTTTTCCCATGGCATCCACGGATGACCATCATAATCTCCTCAGCAACGTTAATCCAAGCAAATGCACGTGGTAGATACTGGTGAAGGTTGATGTTATTTATAGTCGGTTTGGTAAGGAAATTTATGAGCTTGACCCTGGATATCATGCACGATCTATCAACCTCATTGTGTTTGATGCTTAGGTGTGCTTCATAGTTTATATTTAATGGATATATTCATCCACATGCCATTGCCTCTAATATACCCTTAACAATTTTTCCCACCCAAATCATTTTTAGGGAACTCAAGTGGAAGTGCTTATTACTGGGCCTGAGTTGATGCACCCGTTTGGGAATATGTTTAAGGTGGACACGACATACATGATTACAAACTTAGTAGTGCACGATAGAGGTCAACTAATTCATAAGAAGTATCATCTTCGGATACTAGATATGACTCGAGTACGTGAATACTCCAGCAATTTTCTTGGGCACAACTTTAAGCTATACTTAGTTAAGGACTTAAAGATGAATAAGTCCTCTGCTTGCCATCTAATCGATGATCCTTTTTCACTCTTCTAATCTTACCAAGTTTTGCGTGTTATTTTCATTTCATGCCTCAAGTTTGTTTATTTTTTTTCCCTCATGTTGTAGATGTTTATATATTATAATCGTCTATATATAACTGTCTATATAAGTCCTCATGTTGAAGAATATTATAACTGTCTATATATTATCTGTGTAATGTATTTAAATATTAAGAAACCTCCTATTTGTTTTGACAGGTAGATGAGACAGTTATAGAGGAACCTATTTGCAATGGTCGTGCTAGGAAAGAAGGAGCATCTGACTTGAATGATATTGATGATCTTACTAGGCTTAATGACATGACTGCGTCTCAGATTGTTGCACCCATAGCTGTGCCTACGACTGTAAACATGAAAGGCAAGAGGAAGTATGCTCCAAGAAGATTTGTTGCTATAGATGAAACTACCAAGCCTCCTCAAGTTCATGTGCCTTCAGTTCCTAAGCAAGTAAAAGCCATCAAGCAGGAAAAGAAGTAGGCTAGCCTTCTGAGGAATGCGTCTCCGAGTTATTTACTCATTTAATTTAGGTCCTATCATGCTTGTTATAACACTTGTCCTGAGTGTTATCCAACAATTACATCATTTAAATAAATTAAGTGTGGTTAGGGAGTTGATTCTAAAACTAACTTAAAAAGCAAATTATTTAAATTACTAAACAAATAAACCATCACAAAATAAACATTTAAAATCTTTAGAAAAATTTGTAGGCTCTATCTATAGCGCACGGAAGCAAGTTAGATGAAAGCGAGATAAAAAGTTGCTGTCATGGCAGCATTAGCCCTCCCAAGCTAATTTTCGGGAGGCACTGTTCCATCATTTGACCTCCGATTGAAGTGATTTTAAAGATCACACGTCATTTTTAATAATTACTGGTAATGCACCAAATTTCAAAAAGATCTAACGATTGGATTAGAATTTAGACACTCTACAAGATTGGACAAACTTGCTATCATGACAGCACTTCTGAACTAACTTTCGGAGTGCACAATTTCATCATCTGACCTCTGATCGGAGCGATTCCAAGGCCCACATGTCACTTTTAAGGAGTATCATTAGCATACTAAATTTTGAAAAGATTCAACAGATGGATTGAAATTCGTGCATGTTGTAAAATTTAGTAACTTTGCTGTCATAACAGCATTAAATAGCTGTCATAATAGCACCTCACCTCCAAATCAATTTTCAGAGCGTGTCATTTTTCTGTATGATGTTCGATTGAGGTAATTCTAAAGCCCACACGAAGATTATAAAATTTTTTACTTATGATCCAAATTTCAGAAAAATCTAACGGTCGGATTGAAATTTGGACGCTCGGATATAAAAATGTAGCTTTTTGGCAAAAATTATTTTCCAAATTGTCCAAATCTCATCCTAATAGTCAGAAACCTATGGGAACACTTTGGACATGTCAAATAGGACTAGGAGTATCTGATAGAACATTTAAATGATGGAAAAACCTCTTATATCAGAATTTGACCACCCTAGTGCCATTTTCAAAAATGGACCCTAAGCCCTTAAAATTTATAAATTACACAAGAGAGGTCAAAAACCATGCCAAATACCATATATACATATGAATATACATGCTAAACATTTTCACTTAGCTTAGATATTCTCGTGGGGCCCACGCACCCACTCTCTCTATCCAAAGTATATGTTTGTCCATAGCACACCATTCGCAATACAATCACTTTGTATTTGCTTGTATAATCACATATATACCAAAATAAACATTTGCTTGTAGTGAAAACTCGATCCACCAATAAATCCATCAAAATCATACACCATAACCAAATTTCTTAGTCATAAGTCTACAAGCAGACAAGAATTCATATAAAATCATACAATCTACACATATTCATACACATATATATAATCACATTCTACTAACACCCTAATCGTAAATACATTACAATAGATTTTCTCAAAAGAAAGGGGTTGCAGTTCTTTACAATCCAAAAACAACCTTTAGCTCTGCTCCTTTCCTCGTCCATCACCAGATCCTTCGCCTGGACCTAAAAATATTGAAAAGAAAGGGGTGAGGCAACCACAATCTCAATGACAGAGAAATCTACATTTATTATTACAAAATAAGCCATAACCGAATAAATGAATAATAGATTAAACATAATATATAATTTAATTATTAAAAATGCATGAATGTATGACATAGGCTAGTATGACCTTTCATGACCGACAGAATGCCCTCTAACACTCTTTAGCTCGCAGGTAAATCTTATACCCACTTGTACCTTTATAGGCACAAAATATAATCTACGGCATGATTGAATCCACCTAACCACCTGTGCTCCTTTGATGTGAATCCTAAGCAGCCGAAGCTAACTCCTTTCCAGAGCCAACCCGACTTACTCTCCATGTGAGGGCTACCTTGGCTTAGGCATTTAATCTCATACTTCATATGTCGGATTCCCTCCTCCACTGAAAGGTATCAAACACTCAATTCACTAACCACTTTAGTGCACTGAGCTCACAATACAAAAGGCAACACTGAGTACTGGCAGTGTGCTATAAAATATCACAAGTCCACACTTCCCCAATGGCGAACTCCCACTGACATCATGCCTTTTACTCGTCTACCTTTCCCGAGTATTGACCATTTCAATATTTTAAGGTAGCATAACAAATATTACTCCTCCCTTAAGCGGTTCCTTAACCTATCTAAAGTACCTAATCTAGTTACACTTTCTTAAGTGCAACTTCCATTATTTATAATTACAATGCATGCAAACAACCTTGTTTCTATAAAAATATTATTGTTAAACAAATAGAAAACATATATGCACTATTATCCAAGTAGTACCCCATAAGTCTTTATAAGATAAAATTAATTGCATTTAATCATTTAAAACATATATTGCATGATAGCTAGTAATATTTATTCAAAAATAGCTAAACAAAGCAACAAGAAATATAGATTCCCTTGTTAACTCAACCCTTTTATACCAAAAGGATTTTTTCTTGTACAAAAATGAAACTTGGCTTGTTCTTTATCCTCCAATTAAGTTCCATTAATAATTCCTTATAACATATAAGTGATCCATATCACTTTTCAGGGCAAATAACATTAATGAATACTATAACTCACATCACACAACTTGGGTCAATGAACTATAATCCATCTTAATGGTCCATATATTAAACCAACCATTCACATAGTATCATTTAACCATCAAAACAATTTATTAGCCACCATTAGGCCAATTTCCAAATTCATATAATTTTTAATCAATTAAAAACTTTCACTTAATGTCACCAACTTTCATAATTGGCCCTTATAATTAAAACCAAAGCTTAATTTAAATTTTATTAGATTCAAATAACACAATTATAACTAAATCAATAGGCTTAAACCATTGAAGAGTGAAATCCAATCTCTTAGGGTTTGATTTTTGCCCTAAAACTTTCTTTTTCATCCAATTGCCCACTCAATATTAAAGCACCATATAAAAACTCAAAACAATCTCTATAGGACTTAAGGAAATCAAAGCTTACAAGAACAAAACCTTTGGAATCAAAATTAAGAATTTTTATTTTCCAAAAACTCAAGAAAACCAAGGGAGAAGGAAGAGGATTGAAGTAGGGAGTTTACCTATTGTGTGGCCAAACTTGCAACTGCTACAAAGCCTCTTAGATCCAAGCCTAACCCCCTCTCTTCCTCCTCTCTTCTTCCTCTCTCTCTTTTTCTTGCTCTTTGTTTCTTTGCTTTCTTTGTTTCATTTTTGTGTGTATTGCCCTTTAAAAAAACTGATCCATACACTTTGAAAAAAATTACAATGAAAGGCCCAATATTTTTTTATTATAGCACAAAAGGCCGGGTCAGTTTGGTAATTTTTTTCATAGTTAAAAATAAAATAAAACAAAAATTTTACTTAGTAAAATTTGAACTCCAAACCTCTATCAAATTATTCTTAATTTTAATTTAATTATAGATATTTTATTTTAAAATAAATTTGAGTTTTAAAATTTTTAGAACGTTATACTTGTGTTGTAATGTGGGTGGTACTTGTCATTGACATTATGTTTTTATCTGTTGTTTGGTTAGGATTGTTAAGTTCATGGACTTCCTTTTAATGTGCTTATGTTCTGTACTCTTTCTAAGTCAGGTGTGCTGTTGTTATTGTACTGTTGGAAATGGATGTGTTTGTTTTAGTATTATTCGAGTATTTTACCACACGCATTATTGATAGATTCACTGAATCAAAACTCAATGTTCATCATCCTCTTCATTCAATTATAAATATTTACGCATTAATACGTATTAATCAAAGACTTACCCTATGAACATATATCTTCACAACCTGAGCATTTCCATATTGTGAACTGTAAAAATGTTAGATTTACTTAACCCTCAATCTTATAACCTTAAGTAGCTATTTACCTTTATAAATTCTTGTGTAATTCCAGACTTAAGATAAAATACATAAAGAAATGAAAAAAGCGATCTCAACTCATTAAAATGAAGAGACTATAAAAAACATATGATATTATTGACAGCATGCATCATTTGTAAGCACATCTTCCAAATTTACACATAAATCCAATATTAGTGGGCCTCTATTTTCTACAAACGAACTAACACATATAAACCAAAGGCTTATCGTGTAGAGACAATTATTTATGGTTGAAATTATTTCAATTACTTAAAGTATAAAATATTGATATATTCCCTTAACGTTCAGCCTTAAAAAAATTAAATTTCATTTATCTTTATAATTTACTGTGTCAGTCCAGACTTTATATATCATGCATCCAGATGAGAGAATGCAATCCCATAAGTGTTAAATAAATAAACTATAATGCTTATAAATAAAATAAACTATGATATCAACTGAAAAAAATCATTGACATCATGCATTCTTCTTAACACATATTTTACTACTGTATTTTTTGAAAGCAACCCAATTAGTTTGGCTCAATATTCAAACTAAGCTCTCATCTGTCCCATCTATTTATTTACATTACATAATGATATTTGGAAAAGTAAAGGGATCTAGGTTCTCAATGTCCACATCAGAACCTGTCATGCACATATTCATGCGATATTATTTGCCTATTCCAACTGCAAACAAAATCACTACAGCTCAAACATTGGTTGACCCAAGGATATTAAAGTTATTTACTTCAAGAAAAAAGAAAAGTCACTTTGCTTACTTCAAACAAAGCAGGTTTCAAATTGGTGAGTGTTTTCATTAATATACATTACCTTCAGGACAAAGAATAGCTGGATGTCAGTACTCTCTCATATACACCACGCATAACATTTCATTCTTTTATTAAACCAAGTCAAAGATTCTTGCATTCATAATGAAGTTGACATAACTTGAAAAAGATGAGATGCATGTGGACATATACACCAATTGCAAGTATAGGACTTCTATTAAACCAAATCAATTGCTATCTGGCCTATTTGATTCAGGTTGACTAGAATCAACCGAAGATTACAAGAATGCAGATAAAAGTCCCTACTGAGGTAGGAGAAGAGGTTCCAAGTACTCAAACCAAGTTTCATCCTTCTAAACTTTTATTACACCTATTGGAAGTAATCGAAGAAATTTTCTTTACCTGGATTCAAGCAGCACAGAACACCTACT